GCAATCGCACAATCTCCACCCTCCCTCTTCCCATCCTCCCCCCCCCCCAATTATTCTCTCTTGTGTATGTAGTGTGTGGCAACCGGGCGAGAATTCCAGAACCTTGTACTTACTCGTACAAATCTGCCTTCCCGAGCGTTGGCTGCAGGGTTAGGTGTGTCTCTCTGCTGGGGCCTCAGGAAATGGGGGTGGGGACAGGGGTGTGTGCCAGCTTCCAGATGGGCGTGGCTCAATCCGCCGGCTCCAAAACACAGCCTCTTCCTCAGGAGCCCTGGATCTAGTCCAGGACCCAGAGAAGGGAGCTTTGGTGACATTCTAGAACCTGGCTTCGTGGGCGGGGCCCAGCTGCAGCTCCAACCCAGGCTGGTGGAGCATCTTTTGCCTTCTTTCCCTGGGTCCTGTGGGCAAGACAGGCATCTCCCAGACCCCAGCTCCTCCATCTTGCTCCTCCTTGTTCCTCCCAGCATCTGCCATTGCTTTTAGAGGACTATGCCCTAGTTTGTGATTTCTGTGTAAGGTGGATGCTAAGAGTCAGGCCTTATGGACCCAACTGTAATTGTTTTGCTGGTGGCTCTAGGTCAAGGAAAAGGACTGTCCATCCCCCACAGCCTGGGTACCAAAGGATGGGCGTGTTAGGACTGCTGTTGATGAATAATAGAATGAAGCCCCCATATGCAGGTCAGGGTGGTAGCTCACAGCTATAATCCTAGCTACTCAGGGATGCTCAGATCTGAGGGTTACAGTTCAAAGCCAGCCTGGGTAGGAAAATCTGTGAGATTTTGATCTCTAATGAACCGCCAAAAAGCCAGAAGTGGAGTTGTGGCTGAAGTGGTAAAGAGTCACCCTCAAGCAAAACCAAACCAAACCAAAAAGTCTCAGAGACAGCGCCCATGCCCTGAGCTCAATCCCATTCTATCTTCAGACTCACCTCCCCACAAAAAAGTCTCCAAAGTTCCAGTCCATGGTTACCTGGCAAGACCACAGTGGACCTGTGAGGGGCTGAGCATCATGTTGCAGAGTGTGTGGAAAACAGAATGGCTCCACTCATGGTGGACAGGAAGCCGA